TGAATGTGATATAAATCTAAGTAGTCATTAGAAAATTATTAAAATCCTAGAAAAGAAAGATTCAATCTGGAATCTCGTGGATAAAATTTATAAATATTTATTTCTATTTAGGGTGCCGTCATAAAAATGAGATCCTAATAGTGTGTCGTTGATTATGCCACAAAGTCTACTATGAACATTTAAACGTCAGCTATTTACTGTTTAATCTATTGCAGATTAATTACATTTAGCAATCCTCAGTGTTACAAATTGAAACGAAAATTAGGATCGAAATTAATTTTCCTTACTGATACACACTACCGGCCAAAAGTTTCGAATCACCTCCCACTTTTCATCGATATTAAATCTGCTGCTAACTTTTTATAGATTTCAAGTTTATCTCAATTCTACATTTATCAATTTATCTCATGTCAATTGATTCGAACGATAAAAAATTCTCAAAGTCGCTGACTTTTTTCTGGAAATTTTTCTGTAAATTGCAATGCTCGGTGATTCCAAACTTTTGGCCGGTAGTGTATGTTACTATTTTTCTCACATCTTCACCAGAATCTCTGCCACGAGTCTGACTCGTTGCTGTATGTCAAGGGGTTAAAAAAAATCTATTTAGGCCATCGTATTGTGTATAAAAAATAACGAAACTTTGTCTTCTTCCATTTTCCCCACAAATCTACCGATTAGAAAAACGCTGGAAACTAATAGCGATACTAACATTGACGGAGAAATACAATTTTTATTTTTTGTACGAACGTAATAGGTGTCCTAACATATGTATATGAACGATAACGTACACGACAGGTAAAAAAATACAATATGCATGAAATATACGTAAACAGAAGAAATTAAACAGAGTTATTGTCCAATAAATTAAAAGCTCGATTTCTAAAAGAGGTATTTGTATTGTAAAAAAAGTGCAAAGTGGAACTAAATTTGTTGGCCAATTTGCACAAACGATCGATACAATTATTTTCACTAAATCTAGAGATATACGATAGATTAAATACAGGAAATTTGTTAAAATTCTTAAGCAGAGCATCAAACATAAATAATTCTTAAATAGGACAGTCAATATTACTTTTGAAAATTTTTTAAATGAACATTAGATCTACACTGTTGTAGCGGAAGCATTTCTCATAATTTTCCATAATCATAATACCATAATAATATGGTACTGATAACAGATAGTAGTTTAAAATTGTACGATACTTACAATAGCGAGCACAAAACAGACGACGACCAAAAGATTCTTCATCTCGAAGTTGTTCTTTGACAAACAGCAAACACGATCTGTGAAAATGTTCTTCCACGACTGCAGTTTCTCCCCTATTATCGACAATATTTATATTCCACACGCGATGACAAAAAATTCATTATAAACGACTGATGGATCTGTCGTTTTTGGATGTCATGAATCTTGTAAAAAAGGAAAAAAGTTTCATCAAGTAGTTGTTACTCGAAGAACTGAAGCGATAATAACTAGCTGCAACCATTTAATTTTACCGTTTCACGTTCTATTTGTCAGCCTTGGCTCGTTTCATGCAAACTACGATGAAAATTAAGTGGAGATACAGCGATACATAGTGAATGCTGTTTGATATTCTTGTGTACTACTGAAATTAATAAACAAGTGTTCGTTAATAACGATTACAGAGAAGCTTCTAACGATAAAACTCGTCTTCGACGAAGAAAAATAAGACGAAAAGGATTATCAATCACTTCTTTGTACTTTTCCTATAATGCTCGATTTTTTTCGAATTTATCATATAACGTTAAGTGCGTGTAATTTTTTTTCATCAACATATCGCGTGTGAATTAAAACGTGTTCTTATGTAACAGAGCTGGCCTATTAAGTTTGTATTATTCCTGGAAAGATATTCATGTTCGGTCTTCACAGGCACGGTTTATGGCACGATCGAACGGCAACGGTTATTTTTGAGTTCAGGATTGTCGTTTACTGCTTGTACGTGTCTAATTACACCCTGGCGAGGGTCACTAGAATTGCTTGTTGGATTTTTAGTCATTTCTGTCCCTCGCGCTCAATAGCCTAAGAACATGCCATAAACCACGAATTTCCGAACGGCACATCTGCATGTAACGGTACGCTTGCCGATTAGTCACCCGGAGGAAATTCCAGCGTGACAGCGCGTTAAGGGCGCACTGGAAGGGCGGTGAAGACGCTATTAGACACCCTGATTGGTAAATGTAATGTTAATCATTTAACCAATCAGCGTGTTCTAATAAAAAACTCTCCCACGGACGTCCGAGAGACGACGTCGAGAGTCAGTCGTCCAACTACCACCAAGGAGCAACTAGCTCAAAGTGTTCTGCTTGTCTCGTTGGCGCGTTGCCCCGGTCAGCCCTCGCATTTCCCCTTCCCTGGTCGCATTTGGGTCCCTTGACGGGGGTGAGTTTTGGGTGGGAGGCTAAGACCCACTCACGTTCGGGCCTTGGTCCCCGTCCAATGCCAACCACTCACCCTCAAGGAGGGGGTGTTTTGCGTGAAGTACGCGTCACCTGGGCTTATGGGAAAAACCCAGGGTAACGGTACCGCTCGCTCGCGAGAACGTGCCTGGGCTCGCGCGGGTTTATGATACGTCAATTGCTATTGAGATGCACGAAGAAAACTATTCTCCGCTTTTATGAGAGGTTTGGAGCCCTCCTGATAATAAGGAATGATTAACGAACGAAAACATTAAACGCGTATTCAAACCTTAATCTCAAAAATAGCAGAGAGTATCGTAAACCTGGTCTAACTTAAGTATCCTTAACAGTAACAACACACGATAGCATTCGAACATTTCACAAGTCCCAGGCTAACTGGGTGGTCCTTCGAGAAGTTTTTGAAATAAAGTTGGCACACCACGTGCAAGTACATACAAACAAAGCTCGAAAGTTCATTTTTGCAACAATCACGGGCATTAACAATTCATATAAATGAATATTCACAGATTGTGTAACTATTGAAGGAATATTTGGAGATACTGTAATAACGCTCGTACGTTATGAGAAGTGCAAAGACGTGAAAAAGAAATGTTTATCAAGAATGATTCGAAAAATAATTTCCTCGACATTCCAATACCCAGTTTATATTTAATTACTATTTATTCGAAATTCGTACAATTGTACCCTAATTTTATATTCTGAATTCTTATCGTTTATACATTCGTTAACCGAAAGCTTCGTCGTTGACGTTTCGAGGTAAAATCGCTCATTCTTCACCCTTACACAGATGTACTGCATTTGCAGAAATTGTAGGCTAAGTCGCATTCCTCGGTTATGTCTTTAACTGGAAAAAGAACGCAAGTTGTTTAATAAAAACTTCTATTCACTGCTTGATTCGGTTCTTCCTCAGATTAATTTACACCTACCTTTTTCGATGCATTGGCGCGTAATGTCTAACTTTTCGGCTATCTTTGCAGGCGATTCAGGGAACGCCTTCTCCAACATCTTTTGGACGTTGTCTATATTTATCACACCATTCTCGAACTGTAAATTGAATTTTTTCATAAAAAAGGGGAATTAAATTTAGTAACTGTTGCGCCTCAACACAAACCGCGATGAATTTGTCGTTTTACTGCACGGATGCCCAGTTTTGCTATTTTTGAGTGCTCTGTCTTTTGAGTTTCTTGGTTAATTAAATTTTTTATCAAATCGATGTCGAGGCTCAGAAGGTATTTTGTGGAAAACTCTACGTTTCTGTGGGCCGTACGCCTTTCTGGTGTCCATTTGGAAACACTTGTGCAGATACCTCTTAGACTATGTCCTAACTGGATGTCGTATAGCGACAAAATCGTTGTCTTCCGATAGACCGATAGACCAACCAAAACGGCAAGAAAGAAACAAAGGACAGTTTTGTCGTTCGCGTTGTTTGAATTTCAAACGAGCTTGTTTTTGGTCGCATTGCACTCTTGAAGTCTTGCGACAAAAGGCTAACCGCGATTAGGATTCGACTTTATGACATGGATGCCCACCTCTGCTATTTTTGAGGACTTTCATTTTTCGAAACTTTGGTAAAATTAACTCTCTTTGTAGAATACTGATAAAATAAATTGGTATTTTCTCGTAGCTGACAGTAAAGGTGGTGAAATTTGCCGAATTTTATATTTGCGTACTTTTTAACCCTTTGCGGTCCAAATAGTCCAGTTAGTCCGCACTCGTTTGGTCACTCTCGGGCAGTACCACGTAGTTTCCCTTTATTTCGATATTTCAACGTAATATTGGTTATAAAATATTAAGTTTCAGTATAATATTAATGCACGAAGAAATGGTTTATTATCATTTATAATTTATCATTATATGACATCTAAAGGCAAAAATTCTTACGTCGAGTCTGACGCGACATAGGACCGCAAAGGGTTAATAATGTATATTTCAAATAAGTATCTTCACTGAGAAAAAGCAACTCCGACTTCGACAAAGGAATCTTGAAAACTGACCGCTCTGGTCGCAAATAGTATTCGACAGCCGGCCGTATGTGGACACTGTCGCACCGTCGTTCGACTGACGGACCAACGATTTTGTCACGGGTCTCCTAAGTAGCTTTATTGACGAGTCCACTAGGAGGCTCAGAACAAAACGCGCAACCTTTCCTTTTCCGCCTGTCCTCTTTATCTCTTTCCTTTACCTAACCACCAAACACTCAGTAGTAATTGACGTGTCGTGAAGCCACAATAGTCAGGTGAGTCCCATTAGGAGAGATCACTCCTTGGGCCTGACTCCTCCGCTACGACACCATATCTCCACCCTGGCAACTTGGAAACTTCAGGGTGAGAGATATGCTTGTGGCCCATGGAGGATTGTCTAAGGCAAGTATGGGTAACCTTTTCTACTTCGGAGGCCAAATTATCATTCTGTCTCCGAGCCAAGTGAGAAAGAGACCTTGGTGGGAGAAAACATGGTGTGTTTTGCGCAAGTCATATGACATCAGCGTAATGTGAGTTAGTAGAACACACCATGTTTTCTTCCACCATGAATCAGACAAACTTCGCTGAAATAGATTAGGGCCGGAGGTTGCCCATATGTGGTCTAAGGTGTAGGAACTCTCTGATTGGAGAAATTCGTCAATACTCACGCTAGCGAATGTCGTATAAATTAAGACTTCTTCTCACGGTTTCAAGCCGCTCATTTTGAAAAATCATAACTTCGCTGAAATTAAACACTTTTATTTTAAATAATTTCCATAATGTTCTATACACTTTTGCCAACGTGTTACAAGAGCATTAATCCCGCGCATATGAAAATCCGAATCTGTAAGAGAAAGAAAGGCGCAAATAAATCTCCCCGATCCAAACTTAATTTACACCCGAAAAAAATTGTGTTCACAGTTTGGTGGTCTACTCCGGAATTAATTCGCTAGTTTTCTAAAACTGGTTACTACTATCACTGCAGAGTCGTAGAGTAACGAATTGGAGGTCGCCTACCAAAAACCGAGGGTACAGCGACAAGGCCTGGTCAATAGAAAAGGCCCTAATTTCTTGCATGACAACGTCAGATCGCAGGTAGCAAACACAACTGTACCAAAATTCTATCACATCCCCCATATTCCCCTGATTTATCTCCAACCGATTTTCACTTTTTCCGCTCACTTGACAATTTCCTTACGCAAAAACGATTTAGCAAAGAGGAGGATATTGAAAACGCCTTTCGGCAGTTTTCTTTCCCTTAGAGATTCGGATTTTTATATGTGCAAGATTAATGCTCTTTCAATACGCTGGTAAAAGTGTATCGAACATTGTGGAAATTATTTTCAGTAAAAATGTTTAATTTTAATGGAGTTCTGTTTCTTCAAAATGAACGGCTTAAAACCGCGGAAACTTTCATGATGACCTCAGACAATCCGAGATAATTGTCTAATACACGTTACACATAGTTCACGTACAGTCGTACATAATCATCTACATGTTGTTCTCACACGAACCAGCGAGAACATCAGCGTCACGATTACATTTAGCAGAAACTTCTCTATTTTCTTCTCTCAACCCTTATGTCAATACCAGGGTACCTGGGTACCTTTTTGCACATTTTCTCACTTAAAATATTTTGTCTTCCCGGTAAAAGATTTCAATATCCGGCCAGATCGTTATTACTTGGCACATTTCCTAACCGTGTTTGCTTCAAGTTTAGAATTTTGTTATCAGAAAACTACTACAATTGGACGACAAAGTAGACGATAATTCTGGCTGTTGACATAAGGGTTAAAGACCAAAAAGAGAAACAGTTTTTTAAACGAAACTTAGCAAAATCAGTGCTAAATTGAATCTCAAAGAGAGCAATAATGTATATTCGAAGGCTAAAAGTTTACTCACTATGCCCGTGCTTCTCATCACGCAAGCCTTCAAGCAACCCGCTTTCTCTCTCAGGTCGTCTTCTACATCGTTATTAAGGAGTTTCTCTATATCCTCTGAAATACAGGATAATTATTACGATACGAATTTAAAGCGAAAATGGGATTCGGAATAATGATACAGTAGGCATATTTTATTACCTTTCGTAATTTGTAGCTCTTCGACACAAGCGTCTGTCTGTTCCTTGACTGCTTCCATGATTGCATCGTTATCATCAGCACGTACCACCGCCTAAAATTCATATTTGTATATTATTATATCGTTTATTTCATTGTGATTTTGTTCGTGATTCCCTTTGTGTTTCGTAGTTTTGTTATAACTTTTCGGTAAACCTTCAAACGACTTATGTTTATATCACATTTTTTTCTTACTTATACCCATACTGACAAAGTTTGATTAAAAAAAAAAAACTGGGACACCCTGCATAATCCGAATATCTTTGGGAGTACGTAATTGTATATAGAAATTTTAAAGGAAATTTTTAAGAATATTCTTCAAACATCCATATTAATCGTTCGAGTGCCACAGAAAGCCACGCACATAATGTAATTTTGTATTCAGTGAAAATGTGTGAAACAAAATTTTTGACACTTCGCAACATCAAATGAAAGATTGGCACTTTTCGATCACATTTCTGCAACGATCACTTGGCACTAAAATACACTAATAAGTCAATATGTATAGTTAATCCTTTGCACTCGAGGGGCGACTAAGAAGCGACATTATATTTACCATTAGAGGCAACTCTAAGATGATATTTTCCAAGACAGCAGGTCTATGGACCTCCGTGAATTGTTCACTACATGTTTAGAGTTCTCAGCAGTGAAATAGTTTGAAAGAACCAACTTCTAATAAAAATATTAGTTTTAAAAAGTTACATTAATTTTTGCTACTTCCTTATAGAAAAAAGGGCCTTCGAGTGCAAAGGATTAATCTTACCGATTAAGAAGCAGTTAAATCTTTTAACGTATTCTATTCTTATTCTAGAATAAATGGGCCCTTTATTTTGAAAGTGGGACAAGTCCATTTTTTGTTTTCACTACAGACTGTTTATAGATCAAAAAATCGTATTAAGTTCCATCTATTGTTGTCATTAACTTCATATTTTTTCAAGAGTAAATATGCCCCACTTTCAAAATAAACCGCTCAAATAGTTAAATTTAACACAAGAATCCTTTATTTCTTATATTAGTACAATACTCTTAGTATAATTAGAATATAAATGTCCTTGCTTACCGCGATAAGGAAGAGGCAGCCAACAGCCAAGATGGTCTTCATCCTTGCAACTCTTTTGTCCGTCGAAGTGTCTTAAGAAACCGGGACCTCAACTAATGCTCATCGACGTGTGAACATCATATTTATATAGGATTGGCGCAAATATGTCTCGAACCTCGCCAGGTGTTAAGATCCCATTACGAAATAGCAGGAAGAGAAATAATTACTCGACCTACGTCTCTTTATGTAACGCGTTTCGATAGGAATCTACAAAAGAATCGTCAATTCTTTTTTCATGAAAAATGATTAGTTTTAATTACTCGAGCTAAGTATCGAAGAAAGATAGAAACAAGAATGTCCTATGCGCCGCGATAGACCGAAGCGAAACGACAATTTTCACGGAAAATAATTAAAATTCTATTCTCCTCGTCTCGCGTCGGATGGATGAAATTTTATTTCGAGATCGATTATGGCAAGTAGTTAGACATGATTTATTCGTTCAGGATGTTCGCTGACGGACTGTGTGCATTAGCGTGCAACTCATCGTCCTGGGAACTGTGTTTTTCTTTTAGGTAGTTTTGCGGTGAAAAAAACGCCTTAGAATTTAAATGGACAGGATAATTTACTGTTTAATTAGTCAGTTTGATTCTAAGTATTCTTTTTGATTGTTGCAACACGTGTGAGGTCTGAGGTAGCTAAATTGGTTTTAGAATAAGTGCGTGGTACAGCGGGGCGTCGATTAATCGAGGCTTGATTAACCAGAATATGAGAAGGGACAAAAAGACGCAATCAAGTGTGAACCCATCGGTCAAGTAAGAACTATTAAAATAAAGTTCACGATTTTCATTGTGTTTCTAAAAGTTCAATTTTCACTTGAGAAGTGCGTATCCTAAATTATTGTATACAGGGTGTTCCACTTATAACGAATATCTAAATTATTTCCTCCGCTACTGAAAGCAAGAGAAAATGACGAATACTCCAAAATTTTTTTTTTACATTAACAGTTGTTTTTTATACATTGTAGTAAAATAAGTTCAACAACCTTTGACTTTGAATAGAAAAAAATGTGTTTAAATCAGAAGTTTAGTTTATTGGGTGTTCAAAGTGTAGTGTTCATCAGATGCACGTCTTCAAACCGTATAAGCTTCTTTTTAGTCGGTTTCTCTTATTTTCAATAGTAGTGCAAACAATGTATGGAATTTTAATTGTATATTTTTATTTATTTCTTATTGAATTCATTCCTCTATTTTTCGCAAATTTCTTCCTCTTCAAAAAGCTATTAAACATTCGTTATATTTCTAATTAAAAAACAAAATCGCTAGCGTTATAATTTTTCTTTCAATAAAAAATGTTTAATACTGTGACAAGAATAAATCAAAGGCAAATAACTGCTACAATTCTAATTAACGTTTTATTTAGAAACATAACATTTACCATTAGTGCAAAGAAAAATAATCTACATTCATTTGTTAATAATTAAACAAATAATTATAAATATAAACAGATATTTTCCATTATGGGAAAAATATTTTGAGCAACGTTTTTTTTCTATTTGCTTGTAAACAAGAAACTAACTTGTATTTGCCTTTGGAGCCTTGTTTTTAGACATTTTGCTCAATTCTTAGATACTGTGCGGAAATTTTGTTCATCTAATTTCTGCAATATTATTTTCTTTTCCTTAGTTTAATTCTTGACAAATGAATGTAAATCATTTTTCTTTGTGCCAATAGTAAATGTCACGTTTCTAAATAAAATAACGAAAGCATTATCTATTTACTATATTCGTCATTCAAATTATACAACCGTAAATAAATTCTGATGAGATGCATAGAGACTCTTTCGAAATGATAATCGCCAATTTTGATGAAACTTTGGTATATATTAATTCTCAAAAAAATATTCGACACGTATTCTTGAAAATCGCCCTCAAAGTTGGAGGTAGTAAATATATTTAGTCTAACGTCTCGAAAATTTATAAAAACAAAGGAATAGTGTACATCGTCGAATTTTATTTTTTTTTCAGCAGCAAATTTGAAAAATGAAAAACAATAAATAATTTTGACCAAATGTGTTCATTACCCTCATCTTCGAGGGCCATTTTCATCCCTTCGATGTGGACAATTGCCATTAAGAAAAGATGTGTTAAATATTTTTTTGAGTACTATCGTATAGTAAAGTTTCATGAATATCGGCGATTATCACTTCGGCATGTTCCCTCGAGAGTGTATATTTCGAAATATCCTCGAAAACCTAAATCAATAAATTTCACAGGGAGAAAATTCAACCATTGAAATTGCGATTAATGGTCGTTTCTCGTTTCAATTAGTCCGCGATTTAGCTGTAATGGAACGGATTAAATTTCTTCAGGATCGAACATCCTCTCGTAACTTCCGAACCAGTTCGATAGATGTCTTAGAACCGGACTGAATTTTTCATCTGGTTGCGCAGCGCCCTGATGAACGACTTTAAATTAATTTCAACGTTATTAAAGTCGCGATGGGATTAAGTCTAATCTGTGGAGAACCGGTTCACATAGTAGGACGATCAAAATATTTCATCGATCCTAACCGATTAACGATAAATTTTCCATCTCGAATGAGACTGTATGGCTACGAGCGTCGAACCAACGATAAATCCACGCAAATGGAATATCATAAAGCTGTAAAATCGACGCAACATCCTCCAACTTCTTTACCTCGTTCGTTTTTATAGGACTGATTTAACTGGTGATTAAATTTCAATGGCGTAACGGAAGTTCGAACTTTTCCACGGGAAATCCAGTTGTTTACTTTGTACCTGTTGTTTTAATTACGTTTGTGTTTTTGCCTCCGACTTGAAATAGCGTTGCAATTTAATGGCAATGTAGCTGTTTTAATTATACGGTTTTGAATAAGGTAATAATTATCCATGTTGACTTTCATTCGAGTTACACAATATCTAGCCGCGTCTGTTGTGGATGGAGAACATTTTTTTTTTTTGTTCTCACGTGTAAAAAACAATCGAAGCGTTGCAAAATTTAAGTTCAATCGCGCTCTTTTTCCGATCGAATGTTTTTTCTGAAAGGCTTACTCTTCGTGCAAGCTTCTCCTTGTTGCGAGGTAAGAACGAGAATTTTCCGCCCTTTATTTAAGCGTAAACGAAGAAATCACACGGGAGAGGTAACATTGAAAGAGAAAAAAGAAGGAATTATGTATCACAGCATTGTGGATTGCCTTAAATAGAGTAGCATTTTTTCAACTGTTTAATCGTTACGTCTAAGAATCACAGACAATCTCAGAAGCTAATCTCTCAATTTGAAAGAAACACTGAAGCATCATAAATTTGTTCGTTATATGTATAAAAAAAACATGTGTTCGTCGAAGTGTGGTAATAAACATTCACAGATTTTAAACGATTTTTTCTCTTTTTACTGGGTCTCCCTATACCCTTCTGCACTGTGGTTTGGTCTTCGAATTTCTGCACACTGCACTCTCCGCTTTCCGACGGCTGCGACGAAGACGACGAAGATGAGGACGTTCGGATGATTGGAAATTTCTCTTCACTCTTACTTGCTCTCGATAATCCACGGTTAACGAATTGTTCACGGGGCCATGTACAGCTGCAATATAAGTTAGAATCAATCGTTCGCACTTAGAATGATTTCTCCGTTTAAAAGTAAACCGAAGATTGTCTTAATTATTCGAACGACACCAGAGAGATCTTTTGGAAAATTTTAGTTCGCGAATAAATCGCGAAGTGAGCAAGTCAAACATGTGGAAATGATGTTTAGAATTTCGAAGATGCTGTGCTACGAGTGGGATCATGGTTCACATTTTTCTTGGATGAAAATCCTTTGGAAATTCTCTAAATTGCGCGGCTAACTTTCGTTCAATCTTGCGATTCACGTGTTATTTTTGTATTTCACGTGGAGAATGGCAGTTTCTCAGTTACACGCTCAATTCTAACACATTGTTTCATAGATACTCGCGCATAAATGGACCTAGTATGAGTGCTACGAAGTCAATGCACCCGAGGTACCGTTTTTGACGTAATCGTATTTAAGAATCACCTCCTTGTCCGTTCGGTAGACGCATGTGCCGAATTGCCACGCGACTTCGCACCCATCCGTAGCCGTTACTGCAAGCCAAATCAAAATTGAGAATTCCTGACCATAATAGAGATATTTCCTCTTTTTTTTTTTTAATTATTTATTTATTTACTAGCATGAACCCATTGTAATGCACAGTACATATTGAAATAATATAATAATGTAGGAATCGGCGGAAAAATTTCGAGGGACCCAAACGGGAATCGAACCCTGGACCTTCGGCTTAGCAAGCCAAGCTTTTGCGCACTACGCCAACTATTTAACAATTTAACAATAATTTAAGCATAAGTGGTTATGCATATTACATAGTTAATTTTAGATGTAATATTGTTCTTAAGTTTCAAGTTGCGTTGCCTGTCCGGAGACATTTGGCGCATGTCCTGTGTTTTCTTTCCGCTTTTCAGTGCTTATTGTGTAAATAGTGAGAACTGTGCTGTTGTGACTAGGAGAAATTTACAATAAAAACCTGTACTACGCCAACTACTCCCTTTCTATATTCTCCCTTGTCGGTTTCTTGGAGGCCCCGATACTACTGTAGTAATATAATATACAGCGTGGGCCACGTGAAACATGCCACCTGTTTATCTTCTCTAGCTATGGTGGTACGAGAAAATTTTTGTACGTGATTTGAACGGTTTCGAAGGGTGAGTAAGATGGAAGAAAAAATATTTTTGATGAAAGAAATAGCGAGAAATGAAAGGAAGTTTTCAAGGTCTAAGGTCATATTATTATGCATGTTTAAATGCATATTAGCGTCTGCTACAACATACAGTAGAAAAATGTATATACATTCCAAGTGATCTTGAAAGAAAGAAAGAAAAACGAACTTTTTCTGCCATCTTATTCACTCCTTTGAAGTTATTCAAATTTTCTTGTATCATCATAGCTAGAGAAGCTAATTAGGTGGTTTGTTTTATGTAGTCCACCCTGTATAACTGAAAACAGGATTGAAGAAAAGTCTGTCCTTAGCTATGTCCTACGTACTTACTTTTCATTTTTCAGAGTGTTTTGAAATATTCGGTGCTCCACATGTTTTTCCCCTTTTAATTGAAGTGGGAACATTCTATATGCTCTAGGAACTGTTCAGTTTATTTGTCCTAATTGTTCTCTAGACGGTGTTAAATTATAAAACCTCATTTTTCTCGAATATTAAACAACATCAGTTAGGAGAATTTAGCTAAGAAGGGCAGAAATGTTATCAATAATTTTGTTATTAGTACTATCTTTTTCTGTTCTTTTTTTATGTTATCATTATCATTTTGAACGTTATCGTCATTGTTTCTTGAATTTAATTTAGAATTGAATTTTACATTGTTACTATTCTCCTTATTTAATTCTTATTTTACTTTATTAGTCTCCCTTTTAGTCTTCTGTTGCTTCTGGTTCTTAAATCCCTTAGTTAATTATTGCAAGAAATATTAAGGAATTAGTAAATTATTTCTATTTCTATTTACTAATTCCTTGGTAAAATTATTTATTGTAAGTAGTTATTTTTTTTTTCATTATTTGTAGCAACGTATGTTATGCATTATAATGGGTTTGTACACGTAAATAAATAAATAGACAATGAATCATTGAGAAATGTACTCACCTTCACTTTTACAAACTGCCACCACGTTTTCAACACGAGGAATATAATCCTCGACCAACATGAGACGAGCGTTTGTAAGGAAGAAGTCCCACAAGATCTCGTCGTTCTTCATCTAAAACAAAAACAGACGTGCTTTCGTTCAGCCTCGAGTAACATCAATTTTCATTATCTTCGATCCCGATTTTACAGGATGGAAGCTTCGAAAATTTTACGTACGCTTTTGGTTGTCGTCAAGATGCACCTCATATAACACATCAGCCTCTCGTCCTTCGGGAATTCACCTCTGTGCTGACCATCTAAGAGATCTACACGCAAACCATTGATAAAAGTGATCGTTAGTAATGATTCTGTCTTCTTCGCGATAATTTTACTGCAAAACGTCATGCATCAAATTTCACCAAATTTCAGGACTCTGCACAGATTTTCTCAGCTACTCAATAGTATTTTTTCAATTTAGAAAAACCGTACTTAATAATATCCATTCCTTCAATTCATAAAAATCGACCTTACCCGTATAACAACTCAATATACAAACAAATCTGTTCAGACTGCAGTGAAAGTACCTTTGGGCGTGTCGTTCTTCTTAGCACAGACCTTTCTCAGGTTCCTAATAGTCCTCTTCGCATCTTCAATGGTCATCTTTTTCTACATTGACGAAAAAGAACACCGTCCTTAGATTCACATCGTAGAACAGTAATTAGTTTGATCAACTCACGCTCTCCGTGTCCTCGATCGCCACCAATACGAACGCCATAACGACCAACAGGCAAACGTTTAACCCTTTCATCCTCTTGAACCCTTTCAACGTCTTCTCGAGCTCTTCTCACCGTCCTTTCTCTCCACCGTTACTCTCTTCGAAATATAATTCGTTATCCTCACAGTGAAACAATTGTCTCCGTGGATTCGTCGAAGTACCCGTCGATACATCGAACACAAAAACACACCGAAGTGCACCCTGTTTTATAGTTTGCCGAGCAGGTAGGAGAGGGAGCAATTTTCGTATCTTCCTTGTGATTAGCGTGATTCGCGTTAATAATCGTGGCACAACCTCCACTTTTCGTTCACCATTCCGGAAGGCGAACAGATGCGCCGGAAAGGGAGGAGTGGACGCCACCGTGTAATGGGTTACGCGGCGAATATGCAATTATTATGCAATGACGGCGACGAAAATGATATTCTGTAACCGACTCCGGTGGGTACTCGCTGAAGTACGTTGGAAAATTCGAAGTGCGTGAAAGGGTGATAGGTTAATTGGAGAGGATGAAGAGTTGCGTGGCGATTTTAACGGGGAAAATTGAAGTACGCAAGGATGAGAGGTAGGTGTGCGGAGTGTTGGTGTGATTATGCGTTTTTCTTGGACGATTGGAGGTGGAGGTGTAAACTGGCGAAGTGGGGATACGATTTTGTTGTATTTACTTACCTTTGCACGAGGAGGCAGCCTATTTTCACTTGTATCATGATTTCGGAAGTATCCTGTGTATGTATTTGCGATACTCAAGCTTGGAAATATAAAACGTAATATAGTATACAGGGCGTTCATGTTATTCAGCGTTTTTCTCGTAAATGGTAAGTATACGGGGAAAATGAAAGAGGAAAAGGTTTTAGTGTCTTTTATAGCTAACGCAATAGCGTGCGTGTATTTTTCATATTTGCAATATTTTTCGAAAAACGAAGACGAGTCAAGACGAATTCAATCTGTGTGACACAATGACCTGTAAAATCATACGAGGTCAGAAATGAAAGAAATGGTTTGAACAATTCCAACTTTTATTTTGATTACTTTCGTAATAAACACATGTCATATTTACTGTTTCTTCTGTCACATAATGGACCATCACGATAAGGTATTATTAAGCAACAGGTTCTAAAATTGATTGCTTTACTTATTATTGCGGAATACGGAATTGCAACAAGGCAAATGTTCCTTACTGCTTTGTCGGTAACGATACAATATCAGTCACACTGAAGGCGTTATGTAGTCTTACCAGTAAGAGACACTTATAAATACGATATTGCGAAATGTTCAAACTATGTACAGTAAATTCCCTACAAGTGTCAGTATAGATGGTCCTACGCCTAGGTCTGCGTCATTGCTGCGCCTATGTTATTTCGCTCGCTGTCAGTCGCCATTCGGTTTCTTTTACGAGATTTCACGGCTCGACAATTGGTAATAGAAAAATATAATTTCTGTAATTTTAATTTTTTTCATCTGAAATTTTTTTTAACATGGTGAGTTTTGTCAGTGAACGTGTTAATAAGTAAATGTTGTTCAAATTATATCGTGTTTGATATCATTTTCATCAGAAAAATCTCATCAATATGAAAAAACGTCAAATTAAAAAAGTTGGTATTTAAATCGCTTGGTTGCCTCGACTCACGTTTCATCCTTATCTTGTATTCGCTGTCCTTGTCTACGTTCGGCAAACTACAAAGGCAGGCGCGAGGCTCGAAAACGTAGTGTAAAAAAACGTCAAATTAAAAAAGTTGGTATTTAAATCTCTTGGTTGCCTCGACTCACGTTTCATCCTTATCTTTTATTCGCTGTCCTTGTCTACGTTCGGCAAACTACAAAGGGGGGCGCGAGGCTCGAAAACGTAGTCCCTGACTCTACAAGTGTCCGGTTTAGATTCCTTGCGGACTGACACTTGTGGAGAATTTACTGTATTTCTTTCACTCCTGACCTTATATAATTTTGAAGATTATTGTGTCACACTGGTTGAATTCATCTTGGTAGACGCTGTCGTATCACACACAAAAGTATACGACACTCAATATAAAAAATTGAAGGTCACCTTCATTTTGCAAAAACTATTGCAAACCTGAAATGTTGATATATGCTAGTATATTAGTTATGAGACACCGTAACACTTTTTCCTCTATCATTTTCTCCGTACAGTTACCATTTATGAGAAAAACGATTTGTTAGTAACGGCGTGAGCACCCTGTATAGTTAGCGATGGCCATTCAAATCTCAATTTCGAAGCGACACGAAGTTTTTCAATACTGTGAAAATTAAGAATCACTATCGAACTTTATTCGATGATTAAAACACTGGAAAGATTTTGATAAGTCTTGAATGTTTGAAAAACGATTTGTTAGTAACGGCGTGAACACCCTATATATTTCTTACGATTTTCTTGTAATTTTTACAAGAGAAATAATTTGAAGTGTATATCTTCCGATACTTTTTGAACGAATCGAATATGGTTATCTATCACCAAAGCTTTCTTATTCTGGCAATTGAATAGTCTCGATAGCCAAAAATATGTAACATTGCATTTAAAAAATTAAATATCAATTTCATTTTTCAAAAAGTATTCCAAATATGACAAATTTACACACGCTATTATGTTGGCTATAAAGGACAGTCAAAACGTTTCCCCTTTCATTTCTTCCTCATACTTACCATTTTCCAGAGAAACGCTGGCTATACAATAACAATACGAACACCCTGTATATCGTATTTCGTCGTAATTCCAGTTTAGAAATGTAAAATGTACGAAGATTAAAAATAAGATGCTCAGTGTACCGTTGGTGAATAGGAATATTATGGAAAAATAATCTCAGAGAAAGAAATTATTTGAAATTTTGCAGAACAAAAATTGCACGTCAATCAATTAGATTTATTTTTTAAATAAAATTTTTCGATTGTTCGAAATAAATAATAAGCTAGGATGTCTCTACATTATAATAGACTATTTACTTGTTGATCGATGCGTCAAGGGAAGATGAAGATTTCCGGGTCCACCTCGTAGTAGCATTTTACGTAGTCATACGTTATCGTGCACTCATCACCGCTGTATTCTATATGCAACGTGAACGAGTTCAGAAGTGTTCTCGAGAAGTGCTGTAAGCGTTTTTCAATGAGATGCACAGTGTGTCTGAAAAGTTCTCTTACTCCTTTTTTCACGGATACAATTATCCGAGGCTGTTGGAAAATTCGACGAATTAGCCTCTGTTTACTTTGAGAACTCTTCGAACACATTTGACATAACGTGAAAAAATGAAATGAAATTTAATGGAAAAGTATTTGAACAAGTTTGAAATATTTTCGGTAAAATCCTGGCTTCAATTGCTGCGAAATTGTGCGAGAAGTTGATTATGAAAATTAAATATATGAAGATGAGATAATTTTTATCGTTGTAAAAATCAATCGTTAAATTTCAAAGTTACCACATTTCTATAATTATGCAAATTAATTGTTAAACTTGAGAATTTTTAAATTGTTGCAATTATTGAAATCAATTATTCCAAAAGAATTACGAACTCAAAGAGCTTTCATTCAATTCTGAACTAACATTTCCCATGTTCTGCAGGTATCATAAATTTTCATTCGAAATTTCGTATGATCTATTCTTTCGTAAATATTGAAAAATGCAACTCACCTCGTTTGCTGCATTTGGCTATGACTTCTTTCATTCGAGCTACTATTTTCGGCGGCATCGCCATTTCTATTTGTCTGATGATCATGGGAAAATCGATAGCTCCGTTTTTGAACTGAACGAACATGTTAAAAGCATCTGTTAATTAACAGTTTACACTGTTATCGTATTGATAATACATAATATTATTTTATATTACGCTTCGTAGTGTTTTCATGATGCAATTCGTGTAGCACTTCAGATTGTCATCGTCAGGGAAGTTTCCCGTACGCATACCATCGATTAAGTCTAGATATTAAAAAAAAAAAACAAATACAAAATTAGAGACGAAACTTGAGCAAATTTTGATTAATATATTTTTCTCTGTTCTGAATTATTAACCTTCTGACGTATCGATCTTTTGCAAGCAAGATTTCCTCATACTTTTAGCTAGTTTCTCCATCTGTTCTTGGCTCACCTGTGGAACATTAAGTGTTCAATTAATTTAAATTAATCAGTTTTCTTCCTTTATTTTTTTTTTTTTAACTAGAATTGAACATGAATGATGTGAAAAATTGTCTATATTTCAGTGAAGCCATCGTGAGCTCACGAAATGAGATTATAGCGGTACTGCATTGCTTTCATAGGTAACCTAAATGTGGAAAGTCGAAAAAGAGAAATAACCAACTGACAATGGAGCATCCCGAAGCGATAATCACCGATTTTGACGAAACCTTGGTATACAGGGTGTTCAGCGTAACGGTCGCTGATTTTTAAGGCACTTCTGGTAGTGTGAGAAAAAAATGCTTGAAATAAGAAATCGTCAGTACTCGATCGTCAATAAATTACAAAAATAAAAATTGTGAAAATACTATTCTTTATCTATAATATATTTTATCTCTAATATATTTTATAGAATCTTCGAGTGATTGGGAAATTGTTTCTTACTAGGGACGTCGGAACGAGAGCAAGGGGTTGCACGTGGGTATAGTCGGTGAAAGGAATAATAACCACGTTGTAAATTCAAACGTTAAGGGGTTAGACTACCTTTGCTCAGTGTTTCAATGAAGTAAATTGTCATTTGGACGGATTATATCTACAGGGTGTCCCAGTATTCACGGTACAACCAAGGAGGTGGTGATTCTACATGAACAAATAAACCGAAAATATCGAATAAAATTTTTTCATAAAAGGCTTCTCTTTCGAGAAAATTCAAGTTAAAGATTCTCTGCGAACTGTTACTTCCGGTCTTACTTTTATGTTGATAAACAAGGGAGAAGTGCCTGAAAAATCCGTTACGCTGAACACCCTGTATAGTAATTCTCAAAAAAATATTCGACACGTATATTTTTTCATTGATAATTGTCCTTAGTGAAGAGGTTAAGATCGCTCCCAGAAAATAATAAAATATTTTGGAAGTTATATGAATTTCATAATTAATGAGAATTAATTAGATAATCAGTTCTGTTAGTGACAGCTTGCAATTCGATTTTGAAATTAATTAAAGCTCATTTCAAACTTACAAGGGAACATCCGGAAGTGATAATTACCGATATTGATGAAATTTTAGTATATAATATCTAGTAAGTACTAAAAAAGATATTTGACATGTATTTTTTTTATCGGCAATCTTCACAGCGAAGAGGTGAAAATCGCTCTCAAAGTCCGAGGTAGTAAATGTATTGTGGCGACCGCCACGGGGGGGCCTGGGACTTTCCCAGGGAAAAGGGGCTACCGAAAAAGACCTTTAGGTCGTAGACTTCCTTTCTACGCGCATCGTGTCGCCTTACATCTAAAATTAGTTTAAGTATTATTGGTTGAATAAATATATTTTTGTTACCCACTTTGCGAGTAATCATTTGCACCACGTCACTTCCAAAATATTCAGTCTAATATCTCGAAAACTATTAGAGATAGAGGAATAAAAAGTTTGCCAACAACAACTTTGAAAAATAAAAAGTTAAGTATCATAAATAATTTTGTATTTTTTAAATTTAGTCGTTGAAAAATACAAGATTCGTCAGTTTACACCATTTCTCAATCTCTAATAATTTTCGAGATGTTAGACCAAATATGTTTATTGCTTCCATCTTTGACAGCCATTTTCACACCTTCAATGTGGATGAGTGCTGATAAAAAAAAAAATACATGTCGAATATTTTTTTAAGCACTATTAGGTATGTACCAAAATTTCGTCAACATCAGTTCGGGATCTTCCGTTGTGATTGAGAAATTATTAAAAATTTAAGAAACCGAGTACACAGTCGAGTGATTGTTTAATTAAATAAATAGCGAAAGTAAATTAAAACCTAATGCTATTTTAGTTTCAGGAAAAACCAGCAAATGGTAGAGTATTGTTACCGTGAAAGATACGAAAGTGTCTAATTTTTACCGTTTCAAACTTTATTTTCTTTCAGTTTTTCAACTTGGTTTGCCTTTCCCTGCACTCTTCAAATTCTAACGAACGATTTCGTATTTCTTTGAAAAATTTATAGTATGTTTAAAAATGAAAATTTGTTCGTCCAGTTGACATCATTTTGTCACACAATTTGTTTCATACGACGGATAAATACCTATAATTTCGACACCGTTGCCCCGGGAAAATTAAAGAAACTTACACTCATCACTGGCTTCATCGCCGCGAACGCGAACAGAGTTATGCAAAGTAACTGTTTGACATACATATTTCGATTCTTAAAAGAAAGTGTAAAAAAGGCGAAAAAAAGGATCCCGCGGTAATGCGAAGATTTCAATTCGTGTGTACTTTCAAGAGAATCGAACCAACTGGAGGCCTTTTCGACCAGTTTCCCCTTTATAAATCTTTCGATTTTAATGTCGTACCTATGGTTTTGCGTCGTGATTTACGGTGATTTTCCTTCGGGCTTACGATAATTTGATAATTTGACATTCGCCAGGAGAATTACAATGGAAGACGGTAGCTTTCAGTTTGATAACAAGCTCGCTGACTTTATGTAACGTGAGTTAAGTGGCTAGTCCAGCCACGAAATTATCATCTCGACGACATTGAACTCCTCAAGCTGTCATAATATTCCGATTGTGTGTTTTTTAAACGCAAATTCGACAGAATTCCACTTGTTATTTTCGGCTTGTAATAGAAAATATAAAATAGATAATTTTTTTCAATTTGTTTATTATTATTGGAAATAAAAGGGAATTGTCTTAAGGGGATAGTTTCATTTGGAGACGTCATCTTTGGGCGATGTTTAGGATAAAACATTATCAGATAATTGTGGACCGAGGGACTTGAAATTTTTTATACACGTTTGACCATGTTTCAGAAAAGCACAGTGTGATTTTTATGTAGTTATTTTAATTGTTATTTAAGTTATTACATATTTTCCGCCGTGCGCTATTCTCAATAGCTGTCACGATTCATTATTGTATTCGTTTGAAACAGAAAAATCAAAGATAATCTGTATCCATATGAATGTTGTTATCGTCCATATTAGAATAGAGCAAAAAAAAAATGTATTTTGACAAAATGGCAGTCATGAAAAGCAAAAATATCGTTTTTAACCGTGAAAGTTTTATTCTTCAGGCGATAGAAAAGAAACCATTGCAAACATTGACATAATTCTAGTACGAACGATAAAGGGATATATATTTTATACGTATGTGAAATTTGGGAGAGATTAGTCGATTCATTATAGAGAAATCATGGCAGCCAGTTTGCAAAACACGATTTCGAGAAAAATGCATTTAAAATTTTACTATACTTAGCGTTTCTACCAGTGCATCACTTCCTTGAAATCACGATAACTTTGTCATTTCATCAATTTCAGACGTAGAATTTCAGCAACACATTTTCAAGATGTCATACTTTCAGAAAATGCAATAAAAATAATATCGACTTTTAACCTCTCCAAATGGGAATACAGTAAATTCTCCACAAGTGTCAGTCCGCAAGGAATCTAAACCTGACACTTGTAGAGTCAGGGGCTACGTTTTCGAGCCTCGCGCCCGCCTTTGTAGTTTGCCGAACGTAGACAAGGACAGCGAATAAAAGATAAGGATGAAACGTGAGTCGAGGCAACCAAGCGATTTAAATACCAACTTTTTTAATTTTACGTTTTTTTATGCCGAAATTTTTCTTAGCATATTGATAAGATTTTTCTGGTGAAAATGACATCAAACACGACATAATTTGAACAACATTTACTTATTAACACGTTCACTGTCTGGCGTGACAAATCTCACCATATTAAAAAAAATTTCAGATGAAAAAAAGTAAAATTAAAGAAATTATATTTTTCTTTTATGAATTGTCGAGCCGTGAAATCTCGTAAAAAAAACCGAGTGGTGACTGACAGCGAGCGAGATAACATAGGCGCAGCAATGACGCAGCCTAGGCGTAGGACCATCTATACTGACACTTGTAGAATCCAAACTGACTGACACTTGTAGAGAATTTACTGTACTCCCTTAATTAGGTACAAAGTATTTTGTAAACATAGTAAAGCATTATACAGGTTGAGCCACGTAAAACACACCACGTAAACAAAGCAAACAAAAAATTGTCTATATTAAAGTACATCGTAAAACAATTGTCAAGCACATATACTCCCGTTCATACCTAAATATTAGGATACATCTGGACGATGAAGCACACCTATACACTTATTATAAAATCATTAAGATCGTACAAAAATTATTCAGTCTAGAATCCCGTAGTATAACGAGTACACATATTTTTCCTGATACATGACATTAACTTAACACTTTACCGACCGGTAGCCTATTAATCGGCTTTCTGCCGCCAACGGTTACCGACCGGTACCCTCTTAATTGCTTTTTTACCGCCGACGCTTTTCGAACGATAGCCTATTAATCGGTCAAAGTTTGATTTAACATTTCTATAAGTATAAGAAAATCGCATATATTCCCGCGCGATAGTCTTGAGTCTAAACAGTGCCGGTGTCAGCGATGTATCTGTGACCGAGTGAGCGGTCGGAAGTGCGTAGGATGTTCAACCGCTACCGGTCGGTAAAGTGTTAATATATAATTTAAATCAGGCATGGGCAACCTTCCCTAGTTCGGGGGCCAAATTATCATTCTGTCTCCGAGTCAAGGGCCGGACCAAATTATTAAATAAAATAAATTACTATTAAATGAATTAAAACAAGTCGCTACTTCATATTTCATTTATTTATAATATAATGCTTTGGTATGAAGCTCTACGTAAATTTTATAATATAATGAACGACATAACAATTTAACCCTTATGTCAATAACCGGGTATCCTTTTGCATAATTCTCACTTAAAATATTTGATCTTCGAGGTAAAAGATTGAAATATCCGGCCAGATCGTTGTTATTTCGCACATTTCCTATCCGTGTCTGCCTCAAGTTTAGAATGTTCTTATCAGATAACTACTAAAATTGGACGATAAAGTAGACGACAATTCTGGTTATTGATATAAAGGTTAATGTGATGATTAAAGACAAACTTCGTTGAAATAGATTAGGGCCGGGGGTTGCCCATATGTGATTTAAATCATACAATACTTTCTGTACAAACACAACGGGTGTCCTAATACTTGTGAACGGCAGTATATACTTACATTTTCCCTGAAAATTGTTATCAAAAATCATTCACCGTTTCACTCATTTATTATTCATTCATTCAACCACTCTCTGTACCTTCCAAACTATCTTTATCTCAAAAACCACTCCGTACTTCGACTCTGCAAACCGCTGACAAATTATTCCATTATAGTTCGGACTAGCTGCGATCATGCTATCCAGTGTCCCGAGACTCGGCTCTGGTCGGTGGTTAGCACCGTCCAACTTTACATGGAGCAAGTTTTCGGCTGGTTGTTCACTTTGTCCCTTCGCCCCTTCGCCTAGGCAGAAGACTCGCGTTAATGTCGAACCCTTGTATCTCGAGAGACGCCCTTAAAACAGGAGCATCTGGCCAGAAAGCGCTGCCATCGCCCCCGCGGCCATTAGTGCGAGGGCCACTCGCCGCTCTGCTCGATAATTACATTTTTTTTCTCCTCTTCACCGCGATTCATTTCCACCTGATCGTCCTCGAGAAGAACTCTCCTCGCTTCGTGTCCTTTTTCTCCGCTTTCTTTCCACTTTTTTTTTTTTTTTTTTTTTTTTTTCTTTTGAGGAGGGTGGCTATTGTCGAGGCTCTTTTCTCGATTGCGCGGATCGAGGATGATGGAATGAATGAAGTGTAAGAAAGACGATGATAGCTTTCTTGGTGGTTTTCACATTATTTGGGAATTTTTGAATCTGAGTTTTTGAGAGAAGTTTGCAATTCAATTTCTATTTTATGTGGATAATTTTGTCACGTGAAGGGTATGAAGTTTTTGTAATGTTCAGATTGTGTGGATAGAATTGTGTGCTTTTAATTTGAAATCTGAAAAATATTTTGAATGTTCCTCTGGTTTTAAACCGTTCATTTCGAAACAAACATAACGCCATTGAAATTGAACATTTTTATTTAAAATAATCTTCATAGTGTTCCATACACTTTTGTCTTTTCAACTCCGCGTAATAAAAAATCGAATCACTAAGAGAAAGAAACTGCTGAAAGGCGTTTTCAATATCCTTCTGAGTCCTAAATCGTTTTTGTGTAAGAAAATTGTCAAGAGAACGGAAAAAATGAAAATCAGGGAAATATGGAGCGTGAGGTAGAGCTTCAATATACAGTTTATGCTATTTTGGTGCAGTTGTGTTTGTTACGTACGTTCTGGCGTTATCATGTAAAAGGTTAGGGTAGTGTCGTTCAGTCACTGCCCGCACGGGCAGCTTATTAGTCTTCCGCGGGCGTAAACAAATCGGCGGGCAACAAGTCTCGCTTTCTCGGGTAACGGTGTATGGTAATCATCGCCCGTCTTAAGAAGGAAAATTACGTTTCGAAGGTATGTAACATAAGTAAGTGTCTTTCCCTCACTCCGCTTTAATGTTTGCGACATCGTTAGCCCGCGACTTCGCCCTCAGCTCTGCCCGCGGGCATCAGCGGGTGCCCTTGCCCGCCTGAAGGCCAGCTGAACGACACTGTGTTAGGACCTTTTCTGTTGACCAGGGCTGGTTGCTGTACCTTCAGTTTTTGGTGTACCACCTCTAGTCCGTTACTGTACGACTCTGTAGTGATACTAGTACCCAGTCTTAGAAAACTAGCGAATTAATCCCGGAGTAGGCCACCAAACTGTGAGCGTGATTTTTTCGGGTGTACAGTAGGTTTGGATCGGAGAGATTCATTTGCGTCTTTCTTTCTCTTAGAGATTTGAACGAATGCTCTTGTAATACGTTGGCAAAAGTGTATCGAACATTGTGGGAATTCTTTTCAATAAAAATGTTTAATTTCAGTGGAGTTATGTCTTTTTTCAAAATAAACGGTTTAACCCTTTGCACTCGAGAGGATACTCAGAAGCTCTCTGGAATCGACGAAATCACGTGCAAACAAAAATAAATCGTCGAAAGTATATAACATTTTTCGTTTCGAAAATACAAGATAATTCTTGAATAAATTAAAATCAAACTATTACAGTATTATTAACCCTTTGTACTCGAGCGGCGACTCAGAAGTGACATAACCATTACATTGACCATTTGGTAAATAATTAATGGAGGCATTTCTGATATTTTCCAGGACAGCAGGTCTATGGACCTCCATAAATTCTTCACCATACGTTAAATATCTCAGCAGAGAAATACTTTGAAAGAATCAACTTCTGATGAAGTGTTACGTTATATATTGAAGTAAAATATTACAGTTATATTTTTTAATATATGTATGCTT